GCTGAAGGCGAGGCAGAGTGTGCTGGCAGATGAGGAAGTGGAACTCTGTAAGTCCGCCACTGTCGACCTCATGTCCGACGAAGAAGATGGCGGCGTCGTCGGCGGTGTCTCTGGATGGATTGTACGGTCGCCGCCATTTCGTAGGCCGGATCTCACTGAACTCTGTGTTAAGCTGCAGTCCCGGTTAGAAGCGATGCCGAAGTACAGGGCCACGCACAGTATGCGTCTGCACATCGGACCTGCCTCGGAGGGAATGCTGCCAGTTACCTCCAACCCAGATGAAGCAAACGGACCGTTCACGGAGTTTTAATTTTTAGAAACGCATGTGTTTGGATACGCGTTGTATATATTGTGTGTGTTTCAATAAAGCTCTTTCTTTGCATAAACAGCTTCCTGGCAAATGTTCATTTCCTGTATAAATTCATTCATGTCCTTGATGGTAGCATAATAATTGTGTAGTAGTGTAGGATAACATAAATACACAGCATATGAATGAATGAATAAATATATGAATATATATATATATATATATATATATATATATATATATATATATATATATATATATATATATATATATATATATATATATATATATATGAATAAATATATATATGTAAATATATATATATGCCAACCAATCACGAGCGACTTTACTTGTTTAAAAAGAAGTGGTTTCGTCCAATACTCAGTAAGAAAATTAAAGCCTGGCGTGGCCACGTGTGGTTTTGCTGCAAATCACGAGCGATTTCATTTGTTTGAGAATAGTGGTTTCAGCCAATACTGAGAAGGTTATTCAAGCCAGACCTGGCCAGCCGCGCGGGTTTGCTGCATTCATATGCTAATTAGGGCCATTAGTACAGCTGATCGCTCTCCACATACGTCACGGTACGTTTTCGACAATTTGTGGCACGACAAACGCGGACAAGCACGGGTTGCAAATTGTCGGAAACTGACGAAAATCAGGCAGATCTGCGGGAGTTTACGGGGGTTTACGGGGACGAAAATCTCACTTTTCATGCAGTGACTAACACGGTAAGGAAAGCATCAGATGAGCTACCTGAGAAACTAACGTAACGTTTCCCCACTTTAAAACCAAACAAACATGGTGGTTCTGTGCCATGTTCATTTGTTTTGACAAAAGTTGCATGTTACGACTTTTTTCACTGTACAAAGCGCAGGCTATTTTAATTATTGTGATCAATTTGCGCCGTCAATCCCGGTGCATGCGCGCTTCATTTGCAGTCTGGACGCTGAGGCTCTGACTGCAGCGCTGAGAGGGACTCCTGCGGGAGCGGGGGGAGGCGCCCCGCGGGAGAGTAGGAATGATACATGCGTTCACATAAGAGTCTCCAAAAGCCGCCAGTGACACCGTAAAAAGTCGCCAGATTTGTCGCTAGTCGCTTTTTTGAAAAATAGTCGCTGGAGGGGTCTGAAAAGTTGCTGAGTTGGCAACACTGCACCTGCGGCGCTGACTCGCTCTGCCTTTTTTCTTCTCCCCCCCGTTTCAGTCAAGTGGATGTGATGACGGCGGCGGCGGATGACGGATTAATCGCGCGACACAACTAATCGATGATGAAATTCGTTGCCAACGCTTTTAAAAGTCGATTTTTATCGATTTTAACGATTTGTTGTTGCAGCCCTAGTCCAAACCCCCTGGAGAAAACAAAGAATCAACAGGTAAGTCACTTTCTTAGTACCAAAGTTATTTTGCACTCACTTCCAACAGACCAACATTTGCTAAAGTTTCTAAACAGTTAACCTTGCTTGCTCTTAATATCAATTCTCTATTCCACAGAAAACTAGCCCAGTTGTTAATGGAGAGCAGCTGTGGAGAGCCCGGAACAAAAGGCAACATGCTAATTACTTAAATGCACAATAAATATTCAATAAATATTTTAAAAACCATGTGTGCAAACTGTTCTTTGTGTGCAAATCTATGCTTAAAGTGCAGTGCAAGATAAAGCGTCCTAGTGCTAACCAAACTAGCTTTTAATAAAGTGCAAAGGTCCCTTTAAAGTGCTACAAGCTATTTACAGAAAAATCAATTTCCATAAAAATAGTCCCAATAATGAAGACCTCTTCATTACAAATTTGTCAAATGATTGACTTAAACATAAATAATTTTTAGTTAATTGATTCTTCTTTTAGTGAGCTAGTAGTGAGCAGTCATGAGGATTCCACTAAGTAATTTTTGGTCATAGTTTGATAATCAGAATGTAATGAGCATATGAGCATATGTTCTTAAGGCTCCCACCTCCACTCAATATCTGAACATTCTGAAAACTACTAAAAATTATTAAAATGGTCTGATTTGCAGAAAGTTGGTTTTGAACTGTCAACCGTCATGACTGAACCTTGGTCATTCTGGAGATCTGGACCTTGAGCCTTACCTTTCCATGATGGCTTCCTCTTCTAATGTGAAGCCCCAGGCAGCTTCATGGAGAGAGAACGATATCCTGTGGGTTGTGAGGTGGACGCTCACCTTTGTCCTTTAGAGTGTGTGTGGGGGGGTCACCATGTACTGGTGGAGTCCATAACTTGTTAGTAAAATAATCTGATTTTTTTAGATTGTTTTTTTTGTGTGTTTTCTTTCCCATTTGAGTTCCGTTAGAATTTTTAATGATGTGTATAATAACATCTTTTGTAAGGGCTTTCTAGCGTAAAATGTCTTAGAAGAGAACAATAATTGAAGGTAAACAGTTCCTCTGTCCTTTTATTGAAAAATCATACATTTTCCACAGTTTTTGTTTTTTCATCTGGTTGGAAGTTGTGTCTAAGCAATCTTTTGGTTAAAGCCACCAATCTACTTTGGTCGTGTTTTTACTCAATCTATATTGGTGAAAGGGCAAAACAATACAAATTGGTCATATTGGTCAAAATGAGGGTTAAGTAGTGTAGCTTCTTTTAAAAGCATCAACCATTGGAATATAAGGCAAAGTCTTACAGCTGATGCCACTTGCAAAAGCAACTGTTATTCTGAAAGCATTAGTACTAAGTACTAATATCACAAGAGTAACCAGCAGCTTGCTCAGATTCTTATAACTAAATTTTTCTACTAACCAAAATAGTTTTAACCAACTAGATTGGATGGCTTTACAACCAATCTATTCTTAGAATCTATCCAAACTCTATCCAACTGACAGCAAATCTGCTACAAACTCGCCCACATCATGACTGAACACTGAGGCTGTTTAAATGCCTGTCTAAGTTTGCAGCAAGCTGAAAGACTTCCTGAAGCGGCCATGTTGTATGGCGGTAGTGAAGCTTTGAACGTCATTGATTTTTGCAGCTTCACTAAATAAAGCAAGCCTCAATAGGCGCTTCTTAGAAACGCCCCCTCCACCACTCCACACACACCTCGAAGCCTTGGCTCATCTCATAACATCACTACTTTAAACCTTCATAATGCTGTTCTTCAACCTACTATCATATCTCAAGTCTTAAAACAAAAGAATGAAAGGATAAAACAGATGAAAGTATGTTAGAAATTATTGGTAATTATCATACTCTGGGATATGACACGTTTTACCATAAGATTTGACTTGTAGTACTTTGACAGAAGCCAGTAACATAGTGAGAACTGATGTGAAAATCTTTTCTAACTTTCTTTTGTGATTATTTTTATGGATTGTTCTCCCCCTTTGGTTTTGTGCTGTCGTGAGATTTAAGATGCTTTTCTGGAGGTTCTGGTTCTGTCAAGTCATTCATTCTTTAATCTTGGAAAACCACTGGGAACCGAATTTGCATCTCTTTCCTGACCTGTTCTCTGTGCTGCAATGCATTGCTACATCATATTCTGCACTTTCATCTAGATTTCAAATTGTCAGGTTGAGTGGAGGTTTGAAGAGGACCCAAATGCAAAAACGCAAGCTGAGGTGGTTTCTAGCAGATTTAATGATGAAAAGGTGGCAACTGAAGCAAAAATCCAAAAATAACAAAATAGAGAATTACCTAAATACTGAGAGACATCAGGGGAAAAACACACAAGGAGAAATAGAAAGGAACTGTCAAAGAGTAACTGAAGGGGAGTATAAATGGGAAACTGAACAAAAACCAGCCTAGTTAGCAGATTGGGAGCAGGTGTGGACAGAAGAATCTAGAAGGGAGCTAGGAGAAAGAAGACTGCCACAAGAGGGCGACACAGGGTAAACAAGAAATACAAAAGAACTCAAAAACAACCACAAAACACCACAAAATGGGAATGACACCAATTAAACTAGAAAACACAGATTAACATGAATCAGAGTGAAACTGAAAACCCCAAAATAAAACTTATACAGAACCAAAAAGATTTGAATCTTGACAGAAGTGAAAACTGTGTGATCTTGTTCTTCCAAACCTGGAGAACTGCAGCCCTCTAAAATAAACCTCTCTCAAGTGAAAGTAATATTCTATGGGTGTTTGATGTTCTTTTTTTGAAAAATAAAAATGCCTCAAGCATTGCTAAATCCTAACGTCTGGGAACCATATATTCTTCTCTAAAGGTGTGACAAAGTACTAAATAATGTTCTCTTATTTTCACAGGAAGGAATTTAGGAAAACTTTTACCTGTTGTTTTCCAAATTAGCTTAAATTTCTCATGAGAAGCAGAAAATGGCAAGTCAAGACAGTTCTCAACTTCTTGCAGATTATCTGTTATTTTTGGCCAAGAATTCATTTTGCTGATTCTATTCTCGTTTGATTGACCTGCCAATCAGGATGTTAGTTTTACTTATAAAATGGTGGGGAACTTTGTGCCTTCCTTTTATGATCAACAGAGGACAGAAAGATCAATCTCTCTCTCTTCACAACTGCAATCATCCCACTGACTGAGTCCCAGCGTAAGAATGAAGGAAACAGTAAAATATTTTCTCTGACTCCTCCCACCACTGCTGGGTTCAGCCAATGAGATGGTTTGTGTTTGCTGCACTAAAAGCAGCTTGATGTTGAGGAGAAGGTCTGTGCACCAGAGAAGCTTCTTAGTCTTTATTCTGCTGCAGTGGAACAACATTGTTCCTCTGCTGTCTGACTCTACCTGAAAACATGTTACTTTACTTCTTGCTGCTTTTCTCTCTCTGCATAGGTGAGTGTTAGAGCACAGAGAAAAGCTTTGCTCTGATTTTCTCTATGAACCTTATCTTGATCACATGTGGAACTCAGAGTGAAGAACCTCTGCTGAATCTCTTCATGTTTGAATCTCCTGCAGACTAACTGACATTAATGACTCCTTTTACAGCCATGGGCTCCATGAACACCATCAAACAGGAACAGAGGGAACAAGCTGTTTCAGAGGGAAGAAGCACCAGTTTGAGCTGTGAATATACTGGTTCTATCTACAATATCCAGTGGTACCGACAGCAGCAGAGATCCAGACCAGAGTTCCTGCTCTACATCACAGAGGCTGGAGAGATTCATCCAGTTAGGTCTGATTTCTCTGCTAAAATCAACAAAATGACGAAACAAGTGGACCTGCTGATCTCCTCTGCTGCAGCGACAGACTCTGCTGTGTACTACTGTGCTGTGAGGCCCACAGTGACAGGAAACACCAGAACTCTGTACAAGAACCTGCAATACTCCACAACATCCACTAGAGGGCATCACACACTGTTCCTCCTCTATGGTTTGTTAGGATTCAGTCTGATTGTTTGTGCAGCTGAGAATAAAGCAGACATCAGAGTGTTTGCTGCATCATTGAACTCTATGATGAGAAGGTTTGGATCATAAAGGAGGGATGATGGAGGCTCCAGGATGGAGGTGCAGCCTCTGCAGGACATCAGCACCATGGACAGAGTTCTGTTCCACCATCTAGATGTGTTTCAGTCCAGTTCTGCTTTGATATTCTTCATAGAGTTTTATAATAATAATAATAATACATTTTATTTGAAAGCGCCTTATCAAAACATCCAAGGACACTGTACAGGCAGATAAAACATTAAAAACAGGAAGCTAAAAAAGTACAAGCATAAAGATGCCACAGAAAACAAAACAGCAGGAAGTAAAATAAAGCCAAAGGAAGAAAAGGAAGAAAACAACATTGGAGTGATGCATATGAACTAGATGGGATAAGACTGTCTGAACAGGAAAGCTTTGAGTCTGGATTTGAAAAGAGGGAAGGAGTCCAGAGTACGGAGATCCGGAGGGAGGGAGTTCTAGAGGTGGGGAGCAGAGCGACTAAATGCCCGGTTCCCCATTGTGACCAGACGGGCCGAGGGAACGGAGAGCTGGAAGGAGTGGGAGGATCTTAGGGAGCGGGTGGGGGTTTTAACGTGAAGGAGATCTGAGATGTAAGATGGAGCCAAGCTGTGGAGGGCCTTGAATGTAGTTAGGAGGAGTTTGAAGATGATTCTTTGTTTGATGGGGAGCCAGTGGAGTTGTTGCAGGATGGGAGTGATATGATGAGAAATGGGGGTCCGAGTGATCAGGCGTGCTGCAGTGTTTTGGAGGAGCTGTTGTTTCTGGAGGGACTTGTTTGGAAGGCCAAAAAGAAGTGAGTTACAGTAATCGATGCGTGAAGTGATGAGACTGTGAACAAGGATGGCGTTAGTTTGGGGAGTGAGGGAGGGACGGAGACGAGAGATGTTACACAGATGGAAGTAGGCAGACCGGGTGATGTTGTTAATGTGGGACTGGAAGGAGAGGGTGCTGTCGAGGACGACACCCAGACTCTTAACCTGAGGGGAGGGGAGGACAGTTGAATCATTGATGTAATCGAGAAGTTATTAGCTTTGGAGAGAGTGTGAGGTGTGCCTACTAGGAGGACTTCGGTTTTAGAGCTATTCAGTTTGAGGAAGTTGGATGAGAACCAAGAATGGATTTCTTGGAGACAGAGGGTGAGGGAGATTGGTGGGAGTGAGGCAGATGGTTGAGTAGAAAGGTAGAGCTGGGTGTCGTCCGCGTAGCAGTGGAATTTGATATGATGCTTACGGAGGATGTAGCCAAGAGGGAGGATGTAGATAATAAACAGGAGGGGCCCCAGGACAGAACCTTGGGGCACACCAGCAGAAACGGGGAAGTAGATGGATTTATGAGATTTGAGTTGTATGAACTGTGTCCTATCTGAGAGGTATGAAGTGAACCAGGTTAGAGGGGTGCGGCTGATACCAATGGATGATAGTCGACTGAGGAGAGTGGCATGGGAGATGGTGTCGAAGGCTGCTGTAAGGTCCAGGAGAATGAGGATGGAAAGTAGTCCGAAGCCATAAGGAGGTCGTCAGAGATCTTGATGAGTGCGGTTTCAGTACTGTGCAGAGGACGGAAGCCAGATTGAAACTGTTCGTTAATATTATTGGACATCAGGTGGTTGTGGAGTTGGGAGGCAACAGATTTTTCCAGAATTTTGGATATGAAGGGTAGATTGGATATGGGACGTATGTTATTGAAGTCGGTGGGGTCCAGGCCAGGTTTTTTCAGAATTGGGGTGACTGTAGCGGTTTTGAGTGCAGAGGGGACTGAACCAGAGCTTAAGGAAGAGTGGATGATTTTGGTGATGAGAGGAGCAAGTGAAGAACAGCAGGATTTAACCAGAGTGGCCGGGAGAGGATCGATCTGACATGTGGAAGGTTTGGATTTATGAATGAAGTCGGAAATGGCTTGAACAGATGGAAGGTCAAAACTGGAGAGGGTGGTTGCAAAAGATGGGTAGGGGGTAGCCGGGTCGCCTCCAGAAGCTGCAGCTCCAGATGCGGTCAGGTGTTTATGGATATCTGTGATTTTGGAGACAAAAAGGACATAAGTTTATTGCAGAAGTCATTGGATTGCATATGATGGGGAAGGGAGTCTGGAGGTTTGGTGATGGAAGTGAGAAGGAAAAAGAAAGTTTTGGAGTTGTGGCTGTTGGAGTGGATTAAGTTAGAGTAATATGCAGATTTGGCAGAGGAGAGGGAAGTCTTGTACAGTGCAATGTGATCCTTGTACATATTTTTATGAATGGTGAGTCCAGTTTTATTGGCAAGGCGTTCCAGCTGACGACCGCGAGATTTGAGGTGACGGAGGGCTGGAGTGAACCAGGGAGCTGAGTGAGTGAAGGAGACTGATCTAGATTTCAGAGGAGCATGGATGTCCAGGAGAGTATGGAGATTTTGATTGTAGTGGGAAACCAGTACATCAGGTGAGCAGCAGGCAGATATACTGGGGATATTACTGATGTCAGAGGTGAAGGCCTCAATGTTGATGTCCTTTACATTCTAGAAGGAGATGATGCGAGGGAGGGTGATTTTAGACAGGGGGAGCTTAATGTTAAAGGTAATGAGCATGTGATCGAAAAGTAATGAGCATGTGATCGGAAAAAGCGACGGTATGGGATTTACAGTCAGAGGGGGTGATGCCAGAACAACAGACTAAATCTAGAATATGATTTTTACAGTGAGTTGGGAAGTTGATGTATTGATGTAGACCGAAGCTTTCCAGGCAGGATGAGAAGTCTCTGGAGAGAGAAGCACTGATATTATCCATGTGAATGTTGAAATCTCCCAAAATATTCAGATTATGGGAGAGGGTTGAGAGATGTGTGAGGAGCTGAGAAAAGTCAGTCAAAAAATCCTTATTATATTTAGGAGGACGGTAGACGGTGGTGATAACTGTGGGAGAGGGTCCGGGCAGCAGTGAGGTGGAATATTAGAAAGAACAAAAAACAGGAGCAGCAGGAATTGGAACAACCTTCCAACTCTCACGATGAAACAATGCAAGACCTCCGCCGCGTCCAGACGCACGAGGCAGACAAACGTAAACAAAGCCAGGTGGTGCAGATTCGTTAAGAGAGATAAAATCATTAGGAAGCTGCCAGGTCTCTGTCAAACATAAAAAATCAAGATTATGATCCGCAATGGCGTCTCTGATTAAAAATCACCCGCACTGTCGGACGAATTCTAGAAGACAGAACAGATGTTGTGAGGAAGATGATGTCTATTATCTCTCTGAAATTGAGCTTAAAGCTGGAAAAACAGATGCCTTTGAAGAATCAGTTGTCTGACCCATTAACAAGCTGCTGGACGCCTTTTCTTGCACTGTTCAACTCCATCTTCTAGCTCCACCAGAGGGCGCCATCATCCAGTAAGCTCTCCTTGTGCTCTGTGTTCCAGCATTGTGTCAATAATAAGTGTTGCTGTGAAGAGAACAATAGTCAGACTGAATGTTGAACATCAGCTAGTTTCTCCTGCTGATTTAAACCTTGTTGGACAGATGGAACATTGGCTGTGGATTATTCTAGCTGCTCTTTTCTTTGGTAAGATAGAAAGCTCAACATGTTTCCTCTTCAAACACTTGAACACATTACTGAGCTCTACATGAAGAGCTTTAATGTTCATTCTACAGAAAATCAGAGCAGATCATTTCTGCTGCCATTTGTTACCTTGTAGAAACACCTGATATGGTTCAAAGTGACAATGATCAGAGAAAATGACATCTATTCTACATGGAATAGAAGTCTTTAAAGCTGCTGATTGTTCTCCTTTAATCAATCATCTTTATTGATTCATCTCTTCCTCTGCATGTTCTGTTCTTCCTCAGAGTGTAAAGGAGACTCAGTGACGCAGACAGAAGGACATGTTGCTGCTGCTCAAGGAGAATCTGTGACTCTGGGATGTATTTTCAAAGCCAGTGGTTCAGATGATGCTGTGTTCTGGTACAAACAAGAAGAAAACAGCTTCCCAAAGTACATGCTGAAAGAATACTATCAGAATATTGAAAAAGCTCCAGAGTTCAATAAAGACAGATTTAGAGCAAAGGTGGAGGACTCAACATTCAATCTGACGATCCAGGATCTTCGTCTGTCAGACTCTGCTGTGTACTACTGTGCTCTGAGGCCCACAGTGACAGGAAACACCAGAACTCTGTACATGAACTGGCAGAGTACATTAAATCATTCTGATGCTGTGTGAAAATGTAATGCAGCTAAATTTAATCATCGTGACACAAGTTTCTTAATCCTGTTTCATTTTAAGATCATTTCATTTCCCTGCATTTGTTACAGCAAGGGGATTTGACCCCATAGATCAAAGACGCCTCCTAAGATCAATTATTATATACACATATAGCTCTATATATATATATATATATATATATATATATATATATATATATATATATATATATATATATATAGAGAGAGAGAGAGAGAGAGAGAGAGCTATATACATATATATATATATATATATGCATATATAAAACTAAATCCAAGTAAAGTAATAAATCCAAGTAAAGTGATATGTGGCGTGCAAAATAAGTGTATAAATGTCAATTACAGAGGGGGAGGGGGTCTGAATCACTTGAGGGAGGCGTTATAGAGATTCAATTTTTTTCAGTTCAGTTTATTTATATAGCGCCAAATTCACAACACATGTCATCTCAAGGCACTTTACAGTTCAACCAGATCATACAGTCAAATTGATTCAAAGTGTTCTATCTAAGGAAAACCAGCTGATTGCATCGACTCATTGACTCAAATACAATCCCTCACACTAAGCATGCTTGTAGCGACAGTGGAGAGGAAAAACTCCCTTTTAACAGGAAGAAACCTCCAGCAGAACCAGGCTCAGTGTGAGCGGCCATCTGCTGAGGCCCACTGGGGTTCAAGGAGACAGAAGCAGACATAGAAAAAGAAGCATAGATACAAAAGGCAACTGTCAACCAGCTCCACAGGCGGCCCCGTCCAGGAAACACACAGCCAGGCAGACGAGCTCCGAGCCAGCTCCCATGTCAGAGGATGAAGAGAGCACATCCAGTTAGTCACAGTCAGAGAAACAGGAC